CCGTTCTCTCAAATTAGCTGGGACAAAAACCCAGTTTTTTCTCCATAAGAATAACTTGGGATGGGAATTCAATGGCCACTGGGGCAGAGCCCCAAGGGAATTTACCACGTTTCTCTTTTGATGGCTCATCTACAGACCAAGACCTTTCTTTAGACTCCTCTACCGAGTTTCTACGCCCAGCCGTTCTCTCAATTTAGCTATGACAAAGAAAAACAGTTTCAAATTAATATATAGATTGTTGATATTGTGGGAATAAGGCGTTTTATTTTTTAAGAGCGTAGTTAATTACCTTATTGAATTTCTTTTTTCCTATTTTTTTAACAAAAATCTATTGTGTTTGTATGGTTTATTTCCCAAAAAATAATGTTTGGGAAACGGAGTAGCCAGTTAAATACTTTTTAGTGGATCACTAAAAGTTTATCTTCATACAGCAAATCTATGGAACATAATTTTTCTCTTTAGCGTTCTCTTCCCGTTGTGAAGCACGGGTATGACTGCTAGTAGGGAATAAATGAGACATTTTAGTGTAAATCCAATCAGGCAAATGGAAATTCACCTAGTCTGCAGGTTTGCTGTGGTGGGGGTATTTTCTTTCATTATCAGTTTTGGGTTTTCATAAAATAAAATTATATTTTTGTATTGTAAATTTGGAGTTGCATTTTAAGCCTAGCCGCCATGAATAATCTTTAAATGATATCATTGTAGATGGCCTTCGATCATAACCATAAGCCCCGAGCTAGCCATGAGCATAATTTTCAAGCTTTGTTTACAAACATCATAGCAGTTAGTTATTTAACTTACCATTATTATTACCGGGTCAATCCATATCAAGTGATCCAGAAATAAAATAATTGGTTGCTTGACCATTTTTAAAATAAATAATAATTTTATCCTAGATACCTCTATCAATTCTGGGTTCAAAAGTGATTTTAATTTTTTTTTATCTCTTACCATTGGAACGAATAAAATCTCAGACTTGATTTTTTTTGTGTGGGTAGCAACTCAGTAGAACTGTTTGTATTTCAAATATCAACCATGAGACTTAATTCCTTTAAAAGTTATAATTTTCAAAAACTGAAATTTTTTGAAAAATTCAAATTTTGAGTCTCAATAGGCCTATCTTTGTTGGGACAAAGTTTAAAAATCTGAAATTTTTACCAAAAACCCCTCTTATGGTTGTTATACTGCTGTATGAATTTCATCTTTGAGATTTACTTTTAAGCTAAGTTACAGTATCATGAAAATCACAAAAAAACCATAAGCTCGGCCAACGTGGCTAGTACTGTAGGGAGCTTAAAGATTAATTTATAGGTGTAGGTAATTATTTTATTTAATGTAAACTTATCTTAATGTACATTTCAAAAATCCAAAACAGATTTTTAACTTAAACTTTGTACTACCCAAAGTACAAATTAGGCCTATATATACCGCTACGGTACTAAAAATAAATAAAATCCTGCTAAATTTTAAGTTTTATTCATCATTTAACTTAAATAAAACTTAGTTAATTCTATTTATATTGAGGTCTTAAAATTTATTTTCCAGTTAGATTTAATGTACCGTAACCTGTATAACACAAATCAATAAAGTGTTTATTGTGGTATTTTGAAAAAAATAACTCATATTCTGTGGGAACTGATACAGTCTCCAGTACCTACAGGAAGTTGTAAATGAGTCACAAAACACAGTTTTCTTAACAAAATAATTCATTTTTATAACAGATGAAGAAATCACTGAACACCACTACAACAAACTCCTGGACCGATTTGAGAAATGTTTAAAGATTACTGGAACAAGAAGCTTCCATTGTTTTATTCCTGTACCGGACAGTAGTAATGTTAGGTGCTTCGTAACCTCACTAGCAACTGAAAGCTGTAAAAATTACACTTCATACCAAAGACTCTATTGCATTTGTGTATGACAGTGGTGGGTGGCAGAGGTGATTGACATCAGTTATCAAAATAAAGATCCAGCAGGACCAACAACCAACCGCCTTTAAAACAAATTAGAAAGACCAAGCTTGGGTGCCCATAAACAAAGTTTTAAGAAAATTAAATCTCTTTTAACTGACAAAAACCACTGGAAGGACAAACCCAAACTAAATGAAGAAACGTCCAAACTTCCTAATTAGCATGATCAAAGTAGAACAAAAAACACTAACAAGTAAAAAAGTTGTATACTTTAAGAACTTGTCTTTCAAACAGCTTTTGTATGTGAAATTTCTAATATTCTTTATTAAAATGAAAGTGGTTCAAAAAATTAATAAATGAGTTCAAAATATTTAGGCCTATTGAAAAAAGGTGTAAACCTGAATGAAAATAATCTGATAAAAAGTTTTTTTTTAAATTTCACATAAGACAAGAAATTTGCAAGTAAAGGCTATAGGCTACATTACTTTAAAGTAAGTCAGGTAAGTTTACATTAAATAAAATAATTACCTACACCTATAAATTAATTTTTAACCCTCCAAGTGTCCATAGTTTAGGCCTTAATGTCCACCTATTTTTGGCGCATTTGCAAGGTTTTATTAAAACGGATCTGAGAAGCTTAAAACAAAGTTAATTCTAATGTTCTATATACCATTTTGTTTGGAAAATCATGGGCTTCAATATTATATATAAAACATAAGGAACATTTCTAAAAAAAAAAATTTTTAGGTAAAAAAAATATAATTTCGAAAATTTTCAAAAAAAAAATAAGTTCGCGCTCAATGAAATTGTATAAATTATAGGCCTATAAATATTTGAAAATAGCCACTTTGTTCTAAATTTTATGAGGATTACAAATATATAATAATATAAGGAAGTATATTTGCAAATAAATAAGTTATGGGCAAAAAACTGATTTCAGTACATAGCGTTTAGCTAAGAATGCATAGCCTAACCATAGCTAGGAATCTGGCTGATAATTTACATCAATATCACTACCTACTTCTTCAGGATCATCAACCAGCACTTCAAAACCACTTAAATCTTCTTATAATGCACCACGTATATCACTACTTTTGATTTTTAACACTAAAACAATGATAAACGTAATAAAACACATCAGTCATCGGTCCGGGGGAACCTAGCTGTTTACAAATACACGCACGTCAGCTGTCTGCTACAATATTTTCGGAACTAAAATGAATAGCGCTTAGAGACAGACCTCTGGAGAAAGCTTAGAATATTACGGAAAGAACGATACCTAACTCGATCCAGTTCAATCCGATTCAGTCAGTCATAGAGCCTTCGCCGTAAACGATGTCTGCGTGTCGAAAAATCGACAAGTAACACTACACAAAGTGTGCTGCTTGTCGAATTTTCGTCAAGTAACACTGGGAGGGTTAAGCTACCTACAGTACTAGCCGCGTTGGCCGAGCTTATGGGGTTTTTGCGATTTTCATGATACTGTAACTTAGCTTAAAAGTAAATCTCAAAGATGAAATTCATACAGCAGTATAACAACCATAAGAGGGGTTTTTGGTAAAAATTTCTGATTTTTAAACTTTGTCCCAACAAAGATATTGAGACTCAAAATTTGAATTTTTCAAAAAATTTCAGTTTTTGAAAAATTATAACTTTTAAAGGAATTAAGTCTCATGGTTGATATTTGAAATACAAACCGTTCTACTGAGTTGCTACACACACAAAAAAAATGAAGTCTGAGATTTTATTCGTTCCAATGGTAATACGCCTTCAAAAGTTGAAATTTTTCCGTTTTCTTATGAAATGTTGAGATGGGTTTAAAACTGTTTTTGATACACATTTCAATAAATATGTACTGAACATAATATTTAGGCTGTTTCTTCCAGATTAAAATGCTTTTTGTTTCATCACTCTAGTGTTCATGGTTACCGAGTTGTGCAAGTTAACGCAAACCCTTACATGAGCAAAAATTTGCGTGTTCCGCAAAACAAAAATGGCCGCCGTAGGAGTAACAAAATAGATAAAAAATATTTCAAATCACTTTTGAACCCGGAATTGATAAAGGTATCTAGGATAAAAATATTATTTATTTTAAAAATGGTCAAGCAACCCCTGTTGGATCACTTGATATGGATAGACCCTACCTAATAAGATTTATTACATAGATAGCCTAAGTTATCATATGTATCAGTACTTTTTCTGTTTGCTTGGTAATGTAATTTGGTGAACCAACAGTTCTGGTTGAACCCTACCAATCAACATTTTCACAATCTTGGCCAGATTCTATGTACGGTCATAGCCTAAGTTATCATATGTATCAGTACTTTTTCTGTTTGCTTGGTAATGTCATCTGGTGAACCAACAGTTCTGGTTTGAACCCTACCAATCAACATTTTCTCAATCTTGGCCAGATTTGGCAACACAGGCAGAAATTAACTTAACTTAATCCTACATAGAACTACACTGTATTATCATATTATGCTAAGCAGAATTTTTTGAAGACTTGCCTGCTTTGAGAGAATTTTACGTATAGTTTACCATACCTTAAGTTGTAAGGTCTGTTTTACTAAATTTTGTACATGTTAACAAACAGCATTGCGGGAGTTGGTGCGAAAACACCTTGAAAAGTTTGGCATGAAAAGTTTGACCAACTAGGCCTACCTGGAATTACTAATCAATTATCAATTATTTAAGATGGGGACGCCACTATGTGCGTATTTTAACCCAAATATGAGTGAAGGATGAGTGTAGGATGAGTGGCGCGATCTTGTAGTCTTGTTAGTGACTAAGGCCGACATGTTCCTTAGACACAGCTGTTAATTAATAGCCCATACAGCTAATGGCAACTAAGGGACCTACAGTTTATAGTGGAATCCGAACCACATTTTTCCTTGTAATTTACGAATTGGTCTAATTATCAGGATAGTACTGCGGATAGTCGTAGTAAGTACTCACCCGTGCGGACGTAATGAATGTATAGCCTACCCATTAGGACAGGTATATTTGAAAGGTCTGAAATATCACTGTTTTTAGAAAAATGAATTAGTGATGTTTCAAGGATTTCACAATACAGTAATTGTTATTTCACAGGTCTGACTTTAAGCAAAGACCACTCATCAGAAATATGGGATCCAGACATGAAGTCTCCTGGAGGCCCTGATGCCAATGATTCACACGCTCTACGAGGAGAGCACACACTTGTTGTCAAACAGGTAAGCATTGAATATAACTTAAGATTTTAATTAAAAGCTTAATGGTAATTTAAATTAAAATCTATCTTATTGAACAAACCCCTCCTTTGTGATGGAACTAGATTTTCACGTGGCTAAATTGAATTTGTTTAGTTTTTTTTTTTTGCTAAACAACTAATCTTTGAAAAATAAAGATCTTGACATAAGTTCAAAATTATTTATAGGTTTAAAAAAAGACGCCCCAATGTTAGACTGGCTTGCATTATCTCCTAGATAATCTGCAATGAACATGTCATTTTCACTAGTAAGATTCAATTAAGAAAAGGGTCAAGTCGCCTACATTTCTATATATAGGCCTACCTACATTTTAAATTGCAGAGTTACAGTGGTTAACAAAGTCCCTGGTAGTAAACTAATGTAGTGAAAAATGAGAATGCTGGACAGAGGTTTAGAGGTCAAACGATCTCTCTAAATTTCAATGTCAAAAGATCGGCCCTAAATTTAGTGAGAAATGTAGCTAATCTGTAGGGGTGGGCGAGTAGTGATTTTTCAATTCGAATCGAGTCGAGTATTTGAGTAAAAAGTCGAGTCGAGTAGTTGCGCGTTAAGTAGGCCTAGGCCCTGGGTTTAAGCTGCGGTAGTATTTTTAGCATCTTGCTATTCACAACTGAAAATAAATGCTAAGTTTACATTGTTTTGCAGGCTAGGCCTATGGCAAATTTTCTACAAATAAAATTGAAAGATGTAATGTTCAAACAAATGTAATATTAGCCTACTGGAATTTTTTGTTTTAAATGCTTAAGTTATTGAATAATATTTTTTCTACAGTTAACTTAGTTTTTGTCTTTGCAGAGAGTTTGCAGAATTTTGCTGAAACAAATTTCATCCTAGCCTAAACCCTGCCTAGGCCTAAATAGGTAGTTTTAGTACTTATACAAAATTTTCTAAGTTATATGGTTACTAATTATTAGTACCTCCTACCTTAGGCCTAATAAAAAATTTGGCCTAGACTACTTGTTGACTGCAGCATTCAATTATTTAGGCCTAGGCCTACACATTACTTGTTATTGTGTGTTTTTTTTTCTTGCCTTTAATTCCTCCTCACTAACATGATAATCAACCTAACTAACTTAACTAACTTAATAAGGTAACTTTAAGAATAATTTCAATTCAAATAAGAAACAGAATTTATAAAAATAAATTTATTTATAAAACAGAAAACTAATATCAAACTACATATTGTATCACAAGTTAAAAACATCAATATTCAATTAGGTATTTTAAAATAATCACTTAGATAAGCACTTCATCTCTCTTAAGTTTGAAGGTTATGGGTACTAGGGCTATCCTCTTCACTCAGTACATTTATAAAAATGATCAAGTCACTCGTCTCTGACAGACTGAAAATATCAAACAAAAACATAGTAGGGCTATTATCTCTAAATAAAATCCCACATTAAACACTTAATTTAACCCTCGAGCTGGCATGCGCCCGATATCGGGCGATTTACGCCACGGCCGAACGATTTACAACGTCACGGAAATCGCCGATTTTAGCACGAAAATGAAACAAATATCACTTAATATAGTATTTATTCGGTTCAGAAATTAATAATCTATCGATTGATGTGCATTTAAACTATTTGGTTGCCTTTGGGAAAACTTAAAACTCTATGAAAATAACGCATCAGCTGACGACATTGTCATAATGTCATGATGACGCAATCGCTTGTTACCGGCGTCTGTTCTGTTGTTGTTGTTGTTTATTTCGCGTTGTGTTTGGTTAGTTTCGGTGTTATAAGTTTAATTTTTTATTGAAATTTGAGTTTATTTCACTTCAAGATGTCTGATCGTAACTACCGTGACCGATCTAGTGAATTACGAGAGTTGAACTATGACCCAATTCTAAGTGGCGAGGAGACTAGTGATAGTGAACCTGACGAAAATACTCCAAGTGACAATCCCCTAACTTCTAGTGATGATGAACATAGCTTAACCGACTCTTCTTCTGGTAGCTCGGATGACTATGTGCCCAATGAGGAGGAAATATCAGATTGGACTAGGGAACATGATACAGATTTCAAACCTCAGGTAAGAAATGAAGAGCCAGTTAGGCCTGACTCACCTATTGTGCCTGGGCCTAGGCCTAATGAACCTGCTGTGCCTGCTGACAATATGTTGCCTAATATTCCTAGGCCTTTACCAATTTCTAATGACCCAAGATGGGTGTTGGTTTACCCCCCAGAAGAAGAAAAGGTTGCAGACTTTTTGGTAAGGGAGGGATGCACTGGAATTCAGAACTGTCCCCCGCGTAACTCTCCACCTTTAGCTTATTTATTTTTATTTTTTACTCAGACTATATGGAGGATGATTGTACGTGAAACTAATAAGTATGCTGCAATAAACATTGAAAATGCTAATGATTCAGGAAGGATGCGTAGGCACAGTCGATTGAGATCTTGGTTTGACGTCACAGTGAAAGAAATGAAAAAGTTCATTGCAATTATGCTGAATGTGGGTCTAATTCATAAGCAAAATATTGAATCCTATTGGGACACTTCTAAAACTCAAAGAACACCTTTCTTTCCTGAGACGATGTCATTGAAAAGATTCCAGCTCATCAGTTCTATGCTGCATTGCAACTGTGAACCAGCGATTCCTCGCGGACAACCTGATTTCGACCCTTGGCACAAAATTATATATAGACGAATTAAATGGTAAGTTTAAGCAATTTTTTTTGCCAAAACAGCCTATCTGCATAGATGAAAGCATGGTAGGGATGAAGAACAGATGTATTTATATACAGTAGACCCCCTCTTAACCGACCCTAATGGGACCGGACCTACGTCGGATAACTCAAAAGGTCGGTTAAAACGGGCAATCCCTAAAATTATAACATAATGAGATGCTATTCATTTTTGGAATTATATAATCAATATTTTTAAGTCATACTTGCATTATTTATAAAATAAACTACTCTTATCTCCTTTTTCGTATTGATGGAAAAGTCACAAATAAACACAAAACACGGTTAAGTCTAATAGGCCTACTTTCAGTGGAATGTATTACAGTACTAAGCAACAAGGCAACAGTCAATAAAATTCCTATTTTAATAAGTTTGGTACTGTAATGTATTAATTGATGCTCTCCGAATCCATCGTAATACAGTAGCCTACATAACCTTTTGTCGAAATTATAGATACAAGCGGTTACGTGGCGCGAGCGCCGAGTGGCCCGAGCGCCGCGTGGACTACCTGACTATGTTTTGACAGTTTTGACATCTAGTTAACGAACCGGATAAATCAAGTGTACACTTAAACATGTCAAATTATCCATGTCGCCATGACTCATCTGCGCCCATATATGCGAGCTTTTGAAGCCTGTTTTTTTAAGAGCGTTCTTACATCTAATAACAATAGCATAAAAGTTTACCCTCTTATCTACTATTGAGATGCTTGCAGATGTTTTTTGTTGATTTTGTAGCGATTTGTATAAATAATTTGATTTGTATCGATAAAATAAAGAAACTAAATTGATTAATAATTTCCCTGTCAATCACTTGCTAGCATTCATCAGCTTCTCTTGTGACCGGTAACGTTTAAACTTCGGCTGCATCTAGGGATTTTATTTCATCTGACAGTAATTTTAGAGTAGCAACCATCTCCATTGTGGGAGTTGGTATAAGAAGTACCACAGATTATCATGTTAACCCTCGTCACATCTGCTTCATTGAGCAGACCCTTACAAGATTTATGGCTTCGGCGCTCGCACCACTAATTAAGCCGCGGCGCTCGCGCCAGTCGGCGCTCGGAGCACGACACCATACAAGCAACCATTTTGTTACAAGGGACAGGATGTTTATTTATAACCCCTCACTGTAGGCTCGAGCGAGGCAAAAAACTCTTGACCTTAGAGTTGTTAACCCCCCTACCCTGCCCTCCCTACAAGTTGCGTTGTTTGTTTACTCCAGCGATAAGATAATCAGTTCTCAAAATCGTAACGCACTTTATGATGTTATAAATTTGCCGCACAGATAACATATCAGATCAGATGTGGTCAAGCTACGATAACGAACGATGATGACAAACTGACAATAGGCTATGCTATATTTTTTGTGATCAATACAAAATAACCTATTCTTAGTCATATCCTGTAGAGATAAGCGTATGGTTCAGTTCTCATCGCCCAGCGTGGGAGCGGAAATGCCGAGATTCCTAGAAAGCGGCGGTTAAACCGAACTGCTCTCAAAGCAAGGTCGGTTAAAACAAACTGAATTATTTCACGATCGAAGGCGGATAACTTGATTATCGGTTAATACGAGGTCGGTTAAGAGGGGGTCTACTGTACAATGTATGCCTAACAAGAGGCACAACAGGTTTGGCATAAAAAAAATTCGAAATTTGTGACAGCGAAACCTCTTACGTCCTCCATTCGGAACTGTACAGCGGTAAGGACTTTATGTCAGATGGAGATGACCCCTTTTGCTTCAAGTATTCGTGTAGGTTGTACAACGAATGTGTATATAGTAATAAAAACCGTTATAAGTATTTTTTTTTTAGGAACAAGGTACATGTATTATATATCATTCTTTTCCTCATGAAATTGTGCACAATTTGTATATTTTGAAAAATTATTTTGAGTTCAATGGTTTGAGTTATAGAACGGAATATATATATGCATATAAATATAAAAAAATTCTGCTAAGTAAATATACAATTTTTTTTTGTAAATCAAAATTTCATATATAAAATTTATATAATACATTATTCCTTGTTTTTTGCTGAAAAAAAAGATATATAATGTAAACAGCTATGCAACACTCTATTTCACTATTTTCGTATTGGTATTTACAAACTTATTTACTGTTTAAAAAATGTGTTATAAAACATGTTGCGCGACCCATTAAAAACCCTTGCCACCACAGCATAAAAAGACTGCCAGCTCGAGGGTTAAAATAAAACACATTTCTTTGTAGCCCGGTATAGCCTATTTGGCCTTTCTTTATAAACTCCCATTTCTAGGTTAAGTTACAATTCAAACTGTCGCTGTCATGTTTCTGTCACCAGATTGAAAATTGCACAATCAAAATTACAAACAGAATTTATTTACAGAGTTTATTTTACTTTCTATTAAACTTCCACTAACAAAATCAATTTTATTTTAAGTTACAAATTCACGTTAAAGTAAAAACATTCAAAACTGACATTGACATAACTTCAATCACTCCAATCCATTGTTTTGTTGTTACGCCAGCTGTCACCATATCTGCTCTCTCTCTCTCTCTCTCTCTCTCTCTCTCTCTCTCTCTCTCTCTCTCTCTCTCTCTCTTTCTAGTCAGTCTGCTCATTCTGCTTCTGCTTTGTTTTCCCATCAAACAGCTGTTTTGCAGGGCTGACGTTGCCATATTTATCATTACACCATTATGGTGAATGTCGGTAAAATTATTATAAAATTGCTATAGCTTTTATTTCGTAAAAAAAAATAATAGTTTGACTAATTTTAATCATGTTTATGTAAACTGAATAGAAAATAAACTATACTTATAGTTTGTTTACGCCAATACCACAGCTGTAAAAGTACAACAATTATCGTCCATCTGACAACACAGAGTTTAAAGTGGAACTGATCTTTTCTTTCTGCCAAGACCCAATGAGATTGCGTCATTCAGATGCATCGATGTTCCTTGCAGTGTAACTTATCGGTTTGTAAAACTAAACACCAATACCGATTTATGTGAAAAAATATTATGCTACAACAGGTTATTTTTATTTGTTGTATTTCTATATTTTGGTATTAAATATTTTGTCATTTCTATATTTTGGTATAAAATATTTTTATGGCAGTTCAAACTAAATCTGATACTGTACTTTATATTGTCTTCAAGAATCGTCTGCCATTGTTATACTAGTCACGAGACTCCCTTGTTGACTATCGACTATTGCAATTCGATAGATTCATTCAATGCTATTTCAACTTGCTGTATCGTTATCGAGACGTATTGTTGACTGTTGTAGGAAAGTGAAAGTCTGTTGTTAGTTAATAGTCCTCTTGCTAGCTCTGCCAAATGACGATGGGTGTTTGTTGAACATTTGGTTTACGCTGGTCTAACCTATATGAGGTTTGATAGTTGTTTTTTGTAGGAATGGGGATTAAATAAGGCACCAACACAAAACAAAATACAATTTATTAAATATGGGTGTAGAAAATCGTGAAGTGGCACTATTTATAAATACTCGACTCGAATTTTCGAGTAGTAATTACTACTCGACTCGAGGTCGAGTATTTGAAAAAACTCGAGTAATTACTCGAAGGTCGAGTACTCGCCCACCCCTACTAATCTGTAAAATATGACTTGAAATTTGTTAAATGTTGGTTTTTTAGGCTGTTCTGGGACCCAAATGCACAGATGGTGAAGTTAACGTTGTTCAAGCCGAAGCCATGGGTTATAAATCAGACATCAAGTTTCCAATCGCAGTTCTGAAGGGTGGATCTCAGTCTCAGGCTGTCTTGGACCTTTTGTTCCCTGACCCCCCCGTCACATTCAAGTTAATACAAGGAAACGGCCCTGTCCATCTGCTTGGCAATCACTCTGTTGGATGTGAGTTAATATCTGTCTTAAATATAATTAATTTCTCTAAAGGGAAAAAAATCCGTGTAGGAAATCAATTTGAATTATGTAGGCTGCCTATTAGTAACTTATAGGCCTATGTGATCTTCATTAAACAAGAGTCAGGACAAGTAGTGCAGAAATTATTAACACTTAAAGTGCCTTTGACACGTTTGAACATGAAAATTGCATTTATTTCAATGTTAAGCAATGGCGGGAATTCCCGTCATCAGCACCCAACGTGTTAAGAGCCACACCTGGGTATATGTAATAAATATTTTTTTACCTTAATGGAGAATTCTGAGCTAAAATAAACTGCAAATTACTAGTGGACATGTAGGTAGTTATTTCTTGTTGAGATTGCTTTGTTGTGATTGAATTGCATAAAAGTATGTCTATGTCATTAGGCTATATAAAAAATATTCTTTTAGGAAATTTTTCATAATAGGGAATAAGTTATTTTGAAATGTATATAGGCCTATATTGTTTCTGTAAGTTACAAATAGTGATGGGTCGGTAATTCACGACTTTCATGATTTTGCCGCCATCACCTAAGACGATAAAGATTGTTTCCGTAACCGCGGGAGTCAATGATGTTGTCCACCCGGCCGCGGGAGATTTTCATGATCTTGCCGCCATCATGGAAGACAATGAAATGATGTCCATACGGCCGGGGAAGATGTTCATGATCTTGCAAGACGACGATGACGTTTCCGTGACCACTGGAGCCAATGATGATGTTTACATGGCCGCTGGAGATTCTTTTGCCGCAATCCCGGGAGACGATGATGACGTCTGCAGGGCCGCAAGAAAAGTTCATGATTTTGTCACGATCGCGGACAACGACAAAGACGTTTCCGTGACCGCGGACGTTCATGATGATGTCCACACGGCCTTGAGTGATGTTCATGATCTTGCTGCAACTGTGAAAAACAGTGACGATGTTTCAGTTTTTTAGAAATATATTTTGGATTTCACAATGATCTCACAATACGACGATAATCACACAATATTACTTTGAGTTTTGCTGGACTGAAAATACCAGGCTGGCACACCTCTATAGTACCTTAAATATGTTAGTTATTTGATTTGATAAGAAGGGTTTAAACTTGAAAATTGACAAGTTAGAATGTGTAATTGCTGCATACATTTTTTTACTAGAAAAACACCCTATTAGCCTACCTGAAAAATAAATAATAGAGAGACCTAAAGACAGGGGTTGGTGTAGTATAACAAATCCATTCAGAAAACTTGGTAAAACAATTTAAAAAATGGTATCTTGGTATTTAGAATTGTTTTAGCGAATTTCCCATATGGGGACTAAGCTATTACCTGAGGTCTCATGGTAAGACCTGGACCCGGGACAGATTTCCTTTTTTGTTTTGAGGTCCTCAGAGGCCAAAAATACCATCCATTCAAATTCATATATATGCATATATATATTTATTTAATGAAAAATCTATTTAAATAATATTAGAGTTTTGTCTGTACTTTGTTCAGAATCATAAATTTTTAGGTTATTTTTACGTTTTATACATTAAAGAAGCCGAAACAAGACTCATCTAAATTTCTGTCTGTCTTTCTCTCTGTCTGTAACACACAAGATGGCATTTTACACAATCTTGTCCTGGAAAACGAGAGTATCTTATCAAGATCCAAATCATTTTAATGTATTCACTGGATTGGCGAGAATGTCTTTAGCCATTAAAATATGGCCTCACTAATTTGTAGATAAAATTACGGACGTTCAAAAATGCAGTTTTGTGCGGTTTTTGTAAAGTTTTCGTCCAATTTTTATCACATAATCATCTATAAAATAACGAACAGCTGTTCGGATCAAGACTATTTTTCTAGCTGTCAATGATATGTTAACTGATATGTTAAATGTTGTTTACAAATACCGCAACCATTTCTGATCACGTTTTGAAGGCAAATCCCATCCAAGTGAGATTAAAAACTTGTTTCTTCCATAAAGGATTTAATTAATTGCAAGTGGAATAATATAGTGTAACCGTAAATTAAATTAAATAACTAGGCATCATCCAGGTCAGGAATCAGAGATTCTTTGTGTATAAAATTGTTCTTGAGTTTTGATAACCAGAAAGAAGACATTGAATCAGTGTTGTATAAGGCTGGAAAACTTAAATTTATTAGTGATTGTTGCCATTAGCTTAGAAACAAGGTTCCACTCATTGACGGCACTTCAATGGCTGTTGTGTATAAAGTGTAAAGTAAAAAATCACAACTGCAGTGGGTGATGGTAACAGAGGTTTACGCATGATGCTAAACTCGATTTTCCAATGTGTCACTTTCTGTTCCTACCATTGACTATAGTTCAATAGTTCCTCACCGTGTGATGCAATCACTGGACCTTACAGCCAATAGGCCCATAGCCCCTCTCTTGGGTACGTACGCCTATCCAATCATTTGTAACAACCTTTTTGACAACGATCCTTGATACTGGTACTTTTCCCTATAATACACGGCCTACCTACTTAAGAAATAAAATTACAAACGTCCAAAAACCCAACGTTGTGTGATTTTTGTCACATTTCCTTCTAATGTTTTTTTTCTTTTCTTTCTAACTGACACCGATAAGTCTACAGTAAGAGTTGTTTACAAATAAAACAATTAATGGGAAAACTTTATTGCCGATAACTTTTTACGAGAAAATCCAAAACCAAGAGATCAATAACCTTGATTAACGCATATAATTGGTCGGATGTATAGTTCTTAACTGTAAACGTTGGTTTTTGGTACTGGTTCTTTTCCTCCGAACCGTTGGTAGCAGCAAGAATAATTTTTACGTACCAACACATCACTTTAATTTACAAATTAGCTATCGTTGGTGTTGCACCTTATTTATTACAGGCGTATTCAATTTAATTGATGTCTTAACTGTATAAGTTTTGCTTTTTCTGTCTGGATTCCAAAATGTTAGTTTAATGCTAAGAAAACGATAACGCATTTTAGTGAAGCATTTATTCAGCAAACCATCATGAATTGTTCAAACGCTTTAAACGTTGTTTATGTATCAATGGTTCGTGGCCTATTTGGTAATTTTTACTATAAATTACCATTCTAAATCGTCTATAGTACTTAATTTCATATAGCAAGCTGATTCACTTAGCATTTTGACAGAATTTCGGGTCATCTTATATCTATCTGAAAGTATGCAAACCAACTGCTGTGCTTAATATAAGAAGGTTATAACTGATTAAACAAAGATCCCCGTGCGTAGAACGGGCACACAGCTAGTAAATAATAGAGAGACATAAAGACAGGGGTTGGTGTAGTATAACAAATCCATTCAGAAAACTTGGTAAAACAATTTAAAAAATGGTATCTTGGTATTTAGAATTGTTTTAGCGAATTTCCCATTTGGGGACTACTGTCGGGGAAAAAAGTTTAGACACTCGAGTTTGGAGCTCTACAGAAAAGTGACCAACTAACTTAGAAAAACACGTAGTATATATAAATTTTCGTTGTTTTATTCTACGTATTCCTGTGAAAACAAAAACATTTTAGCTCGTTTAGGAAATTTTTTATGACAGTCGGAAGGTAAAAACTCCCTGTTTTTAGAGTATCAAAAACCATCTTATGACTTTGAAAATTCGCACAATGTAAACTAAACGTCAGAACTTTATCAAACTTTAATACTGAACCATGCCCTCGCGCCTGCACCCAGACTAACGAAAAGGAAGCGTGATCCATGCGCAGGCCCGAGGAGCGGCTCACAAAACTTTACTTAACAAAATGAGAACCATGGATGGAGGCTCAAGAACAACACGCCATTTGAGAGAAACGAGCTGTAATTAACCATTTAAAAGAATAACACAACAACAATAATTAACAATAATACATGAATTAAATACTCTCAATTAAACTTTAAAAAAATTTTGATACCCGTTTACCCTACTAACTTACAATTATTTCATTAATCATTTTCAAATAGGCTAAATTTCAAAAATAAATCTTACTAGCTTTTACCTTTCAAAAAAACTTTTAAATTAACAAATTACAACAATGATATATATAATGACTCTTATAATAAATTCATTTTATCTGGTAACTATAGAAACTTGAGGGGCCCCAAATTAGAATTCAATAGAATATTTAATAAAATTATAAAATTTAAAAAGATCAACAAGTAGCCTAAAGAATTAAAATTTAAAAAGAATAACAATTAATAAACTATGTATAGGCCTATAACAAAAATAATTTCAAATAGTCTCTTGGGTTGCTTTTTTTTTTATAAATAAAATCAAAAAACATAACGACAGTGGGTAACTTGCGGTAGTGCGGTTGGGTTTTGGGCCAGGTCTAGAAGTTCAGCACCGGAGGGGGAACCAAGCAGGGCGGAGAGGGGGCCAAGGTCTACGAGGCAGCCATGAGTTACAAATTTCCTCCGCCAAGGTCGAAACGGTCCAGTGCATAGTCCTCCTCACGGGCCCCAAAAGGCGCGCGTGGCACGATAAATTTACACCATTGCGTAGCAGAACAAAAGTAAAGAACAATTAACAAAACTGCTTTGCAAAAAATAAAGCATAGAAACAGATGTTAAAGGATAAATTTGTTCTGAAAATCCTCTGCGAGGCAAACGGCTCTGACGTACGCAATTGGCTGCCTAACACCATCCACCTCTTGTGACAACACAGCCGCAATTGCGACGGAGGAAGCATCTGTTTGCAAGACAAAGTTTTGATTGAAATCCGGCATCGCCAAAACAGGGGGCTGCATGATAGCCTCCTTGAGAAGGTCAAAAGACGTCTGCTGCGCTTCACCCCAGACAAACTTGGCGCCCTTCTTCCGAAGCTCATTGAGAGGAGCCGCCAATTCAGCAACATTGGGTATGAAGCGTCGGTAAAAACCTACCATGCCGATGAACCTAGCAATACCCTTGACATCTCTGGGAGGAGGAAACTCCCTGATAGCCTGGGTTCTAGCGGGGTCGATGCAGACGCCTCTATGAGAGATAAGATGACCAAGGA